TCCCCTTCCCCGATTTTATGTGAGCCGCCCTGAGTCCCCTCAGGGAAAAGGGCGGCCTACAAATATTAATAAAATCTAAAAATCTAATCTTGTAGCAATACGATACATTGAGTTCATCCATGATAATAAGCTGTTAAAACCTAACCAAAACTAACACCAAGCTTAGCGTGCTGCGTGAATCTTTTGCTATAGATACGCATGAGCGCTTAAAAACATGTACATGTCATCCTACCCCAGAAGAAAAAACTTTATCACAGGGGTGTCAAACTCCAGGCTGGTGGGGGAGGAGGATCCGGCCTATGGGATGCTTAGATCAGACCCCGTAAGGTCACCAAGGAAACAGTAAAGGACTGGCCCACAGTGCCTGTGGCAGCCAAAATGGAGCTCTCAAGGCCCTCCCTTGGGAGCCCGTTATCACTGGCAGAGCGCTCAGCCCACCACAGGTGCCCCCAACATGAGTGATGTTGAGCTGGCCACTCCCATCTCCCCCCCCCAGTTCAAACACCACCCATCTTTCAAATTTCATCTTCAATGAAATCGAGTTTGACACCCATGCCTTATCAGAAGATTAAGATGGATGGGACAACGGTGAATCGGTGAATCTTGGCTTAGGGAACTAAGTAGACTAATTGGGGCTTAGCCCAATCTACTCCAATCTTCCTAAGCAGAGGCCCAGTTTCCTGTCACCGTGACGTTTTGATCACAGCTTGCCCCAGACAAAGCATCCTTGTCGAAAAGTCTCTTCCTATCACTTGCAAAAAACAACACCAACAACCCGCTTCTTTTGATCTGATTTGGCTTTGATGGCCTTTCAGACACAACAATGCACCTTCTCATCAAAAATACCCAAGTGGGTTGCCCCAAACGTCTTCCAGCACTTTAAAGATTGCTCCATGTGGCACTAAAGGCCTTGCATTTCTTGGTGGTCTCCCATCCTGCTTAAGTTTTTAAAATTATTTTTTTTTAAAAATAATAATTTGAACACATCATCATCCATTAAACAGTGTGTTGTCTGGGTACAAATGTCCCTGTACATCAAGATTTACAATATTCATTTCATTGATAATTCTCTAATCTTACTATATTAATAATCAGTATTATAACTCTATTCATTTCCCCTCTTAACACAT